ACTTCTTACTTAATTTTATGGCTCTCATATAACCTCCATACCTATACCAGAGAATAGTCCAAAAAAGAAAAATTATATGCCAACTTCATTCATGAACAAGAATTTTTTTTTTTTTTTGCGATATGTGGGCCTCTCACTGTGGTGGCCTCTCCCGTTGCGGAGCACAGGCTCCGGACACACAGGCTCAGCGGCCATGGCTAACGGGCCCAGCCGCTCTGCAGCATGTGGGGTCCTCCTGGACTGGGGCACAAACCCGTGTCCCCTGCATTGGCAGGAGGACTCTCAACCACTGTGCCACCAGGGAAGCCCCCCATGAACAAGATTTTTAAAAATCCGAACCAAAGTATTAGCAAGTTGAATCTAGCAATATATGAAGAAGATAATAACATCATGGCCAAGTTGGGCTTCCCCAGGAATTCAATACTTCCGAACCAAAGTATTAGCAAGTTGAATCTAGCAATATATGAAGAAGATAATAACATCATGGCCAAGTTGGGCTTCCCCAGGAATTCCCCAGGAATTCAAGGATGGTTAGTTTGAGAAAATTAATTTATCATATTAAAATAAATTTAAGGAGAAAAACTATATGATTATCTTAATAGATGTAGAAATAGTATGAGACAATTCAACACCCTTTAATGTTCAATAAAAGATAAACCTCTTAGCAACTAAGAATAGAAGGGAACTTCTTTTATTGATAAAGGGTATGAATGAAAGACACCCTTATATTTAATGATTAAATATTTAAAATGTTCTTTTTAAGACTAAAGAAAGAAAAGTATAATTATTCCCAGTTGATATGACTGTCTACACAGAAAACCCAAATATGTCACAGATAAATTTTAAGAATTAATAAAATAATCCAATTTGCTGAATTCAAAACCATTATACAAAATTCAGTTGCATTTCTATATATCAAAAATAGCTAGAACATGTAACCAAATATAAATATGACTTAGCAGCAAAAATATAAAATAAACAGGATTAAATAATACAAAAGATATACAAGCCCTTTATGGAAAAGTTACAAAACCTTATGAAAATACTTTAATGAAAAGACTTGAAAAGTGAAACAAAACTTTGTCCCAGTGGTCTGGGACATTGTTCACAGAACAATGAAAAATGGATTGGAGGGGGCTATATATTTCCAGGTAAATGCGATATGATTACATTTCTCTGTGGAAGTTAAGAATATTCAAATGGGCTTAATATACCAATATTATTTTAAGATGACAATATGAAATAAGATGTAGTAAGAAGTATTACTAGTATATTAAAAAGATTTGAGATGAAAACTTCAGGAACTAAAGGGCTGAAATTTCAAAGTTTTAAAAAATACCATCAAAATAAGTAATGCTAGTATAAAATGTAGTTGTAAAGGAGAAAATGCATCTAAACCTCTTAGAGAGATCATGCATTTATTAAGGAGTCTCCGTAAAGCACACTAAAACCAGGGCGATAAGGCCTGGGATGGGGATATCTAGTTGGATGTCTAAGTACCTTGAGTTTTGAACCCCAAGATTACTCCCAAATGCTCTGTATTAACAGAAGTAACCTCATTTATGGAAGAGAGCAGCCTCTCTGTGCCTCACCTGAGGCAGATGCCTCAGAAGACAATGCTCGACTTTTACAAGCTTATTTCCCCTCATAGCTTCTAGAGCAGTAACTGGGGTCAAGTGTCAGCCCAGCCCAACTGGGGAGGCACTGGACAGGAAGAAAGGTGTTATGCACCTAAAGAGCTCCAGGGCCTGGCTATGAGTGTACCAACAGGAACCAGGAGAACACGCCTGGGAAAGATCTTGAGGGTGTCAGGTGAGGGGAATGCTGACTGGATAGGAGTTTGTTGATAGTGGGCTGTCTCCCATGACTCATAGTTTAACATCCTAGCTAGGACACCTGGAGCAAGTCCTAATTCACTGCTGGTAAGGTTACTTGAAGCTTGGGAAAAAACAATGAGGTGTAAATGCCAGAACTGCCTTGACAGGGCACAGAGGCAGGTGTTAAATACTCACAGAAGTGACATGTTAAGTGGATTTATTATGTTAGGCCAGAGAACCATCAGCCTACTCTGCTCTTTGGGATGGACAGAGGGCACTCTTTTCATTAAGATGTTAAGGAATGAGCTAGTAAGGGAGCACTGGCTTCACTACGAAGCTCAGTGATGGCTTTCCTTTTGTGGGCCAGGATTTAAAGTAAGGGAGAGGCCGCTATGATACTGGGTTCTCATGTGTCAGTGGGGATGACAGGGTCTGGAAGAGCAGAGGCCAGGTGGCAGCCCTTAACTGTCAGAAACAAAGTAGGTATAATTACTATAATGGGCAGCAAGCCCAGAATGGCCACAAGCAAGACCCACAGAGATCTGCGATGATAGTGATAAACCATGGGCTCCCTAGGGCTGAGACAGATGAGCAGTCGATGAAAGTGTTGATTAACTTACATTTCTAAAAATGAAAAAGGGTAAGTGAACCAAAGGCTGATGTCAGCAGCCACAGTGGAAGTCATGATTCCTTGCTCATGATTCCAGAGCCCATTGACTGAAGGGATGGCAAGGAGTCCTCGAGGATCTAGCCTACAACTCCACAGCAAGTATTTATAATAGGGATTCCCCAATCCTTCCCCAAGAGAACCTACAACAATTAACCAGAGACATAGACACTGTGGAAATAGGAATATTCTCTTTGAACAGTTATAGGACACAGGGTCTCAGCTGACATCAATACCAGCAGATCCAAAATGCCATGATAGCCTCGTATTAGAGCGAGGGCAAATGGAGAACCAGTGATAAATGGAACCTTGGCTCAAGTCTGTCTTACAGTGCATCCAAAGGGTCTGAAGAATCACTCGGTGGTTATTTTCCTGGTCCCTGAGTGCATAACAGGGATTGCAGCTGGAAAAACCTTCACAGGGATTGCCTAACTGTGGAATAAGGGCCACTGTGGTTGAAAAGGCCAAGTGGAAGCTCATGAAACTGCACACCTGCTCCTTAGCCTCTGCCCAAATAAACAATAGTAAATCATCCTGAATGAAATGGAAGAGTGCTACCCCAAAACTATTTAAAAGATGCATCATCCTGTTTAATTCTCTAGTCTGAGTTTCTGCAAAAACCAGATCATGACAGATGATATTGGACCACTGTAAACGTAACTAGGGGCAGCCCCAACTGCAACTGCTGTGCAGAGAACTTTACTAGACGGACACAGCTTCTTATACTTGATATGTAGCTACTCAGCTGGAAAATGCTTTTTTTTTTTTACACGTCAAGGAGGAGGATCAGAAGCAGTTTGTATTTACTTAGAACAGTCAGCAATGGACATTTAGTCTTATCCCGGGACTCTCCTGCTCTTTGTAACAAATATAGTACAAAGGGGTCTTGTTGATCCACAATATTGACAATATCAGACCTGGTGAGCGGGAAGTGGCAAGTGTTCTGGATGCCTTCATAAGACGTACGGGCAGCGGAAAATGGGAAATAAACCTACAAAGATTCGAGGACCTGTTATATTGGTGAAGTGTTAAAAGGCCAGTGGTCTGGGACATTCTGAGACATTCTCTCCAAGGTAAAGGACAAGTAACTGTACCTTACACCTTCTACCTCTAAAAACAGGTGCAATATTTTGTAAGTCTCTTTAGTTTTTGGAGACAGCATGTAGCACATTTGGGAATATT